TATTATTGTTAAGTATATTTTGCCTATGTTCTAATTCTTGTCGTTTTTCTATAAGTACTTCATTAAGTTTTTGTCTATAGCCGCTATTCTTGTTATTCATTGTATTTTTAAGTATTGAATATATTTATATTCTATTTTAGATATATTATCTATTAATTGATTTAATTTTTCGTTATCAGTTTTTGTGATATTAAGTTGTTTCTATTCCAGATATAATTTGTTTAATTTTCTTCTTATTTTTCTTAATTTTCTACTCGTATGTTTCTTACCGTGTTTCTTATTATCCATAGCTCTGATACCATTTACCGAAAAATGGTATTAGAGCTATGGATAATAAGAAACACGGTAAGAAATATACGAGTAGAAAATTGAGAAAAATAAGAAGAAAATTAAACAAATTATTTAGAGAATACTAACGGAATGTACTTGTTATAATTGTGGAAAATTAGGACATATAGCTAGAAATTGTAAATTACCTAAAAATCCAAAGAAAAAACAAATATCATAAATAATAATAGATGATGAAAAATATACACAAATAGAGTACGTAGATTATGAATTAGAAAGCAATGATAGTATATATGATTATCGGAAAATGAAATGGAAAATAGTCCAGTAATAGAATCGGATAATGAATACGATATTAATGACTGAAAAAGATATACAAATAATAACTAAAGAAAAATATCAAGATGAAGAATCGACAGAACAAAAAATAATATTTGATAATAATATATTTGAGCAAATAAAAGAAAAAGAATTAGACCTAAGTGTAGCAAAAATATTCGAAATACCAACAATAAGAAACTGGTTTAAATGACAAAAAGAAGAATATTACGCAGTAAGTCAAAGAGAACATATCATAGATTGCAAATACACTAAAGGAAAGGCCAAAATACCACTAATAAATAAACGAATAATAAATAAAGAAATACAAGATATTAAGGCTAAAAATTCAATTAAATATGTACATTTAGGAGGAACAGAAATACTAATAAAAACATGTTTTTGAGAAGGAATAGATACACCCATAGAAATATACTCTAGCAGATGATAGAATTATACAACCCATAGAAAAAAGTATAATAAGTGCGGTAAAAGGTAACCTCATATATCAAAAATTTAAATTTATAATAAGTGCTAATTACTCAGTAGCAGTAAATGACAGAAATATAGATAAATCATTAATATTATATTGGAGAATGTCAGGAATAGAACTAGCCCCGGGAAGTAAAATATTTACAGCTAGATGTAAAAACTTATATGTTTTAACGACAAAACATAAAGTAACAGCAAAAAATAAAATAAAAAAAATAAAAATAGAAGATCCTTTTGAAAGAATAGTCACAGTCATAGACAAGAATGACTATAGTTATAATGAAATTGACATAGAAGAAGATTTAGAAATAGTAAAAGAAAGATTAAGTACATCAACATCAAAAAGAATAAACATGAACTGTGAAATACCACAAATCTCATAAAAAATGAGTACCTCAAGAAGAATCGATAAAACTCTACAAAAATCAATGGAGGAAGATATAAAACCACATCATTACTACATAACGGGAATAATGGAACAATGAAAATATTTAATATTAATAGATACAGGACGAGAAGAAAACTATATTACAAGAGAATTAGTGACAGAAGATGAAATAATAACTATTGAACAATCATGCTCCGAACTACCAAAAGCATTAATGTATACCGAAGAAACTACAGAAAAGGAAATAATCATCGGAGGAGTACCAATAGAGATAGAATTCAAAGTATATCAAGGAAATGAAAATATCAATTTAGGAATAAAATGGCTAGAACAAGTAAAACCATATAATCTAGAAGACAAACAGTTAACAATAAATTATGAAAATAAAAGAGTAATAATAAAAAGGGCTTTAGTATAATAAAAATATGAAAATATATATACTTGCAAAGATAATAATAGAATGATATTACAACCGATATTATACACCAATGATAGATACGAGAGTAGAAGCTAATATATGTAAATACAATTGTTTACCAAAAGATAAATGGGAAAAATTAAAAACACCGATAGTAGTAACGGGATTTAATAATGAAGGAAACATGATCACATATAAGGCAAAAAATATAAAAGTACAAATATGGGATAAGATATTAACTATAGAAGAAATATTTAACTTTGAATTAACTACAAAAGATATGCTATTAGGAATGCCATTTTTAGAAAAATTATACCCACATATAATAACAAAAACACACTGGTGGTTCACGACACCATGTAAACAAAAAATAGGAGCAAAAAGAGTAAATAATAAAAAACGAAAAACAACAGAATGGATAAAAGAAAGTGAAAAAATTACACAAAAATTAGAAAATATAAAACAAGAAGACCCTCAAATAGAATTAATTATATTCTCTATAGATAAAGTAAAAATAATTCAAGATAAGTTAGAATTATTATATAGTGAGGATCCTTTACAAGGATGGAAAAAAACATAAAACAAAAGTAAAAATTGAGCTAATTGATAATAACAGTATAATAATCCAAAAACCATTAAAGTATAATTTTAATGATCGACCCAGCTCGCCAAACGGCCCAACGTGCCTATTTTCAACCCATCTTCTCGAATTCAACCCCGCAACACCCGAAAATAAAATCAAAGCATGCACTAGTACAATTAATCTCAGACCCATAACACCCATCACCCCGGGATATTCAGATTTTTCCCGATTTTGCTAAATTTGGTCATTTGACAACTTTTGCCCTTACGAATGGTGTAAACCACTCCATCACCGTGTAATTTACACCATTTAGCACGAATACAGGCTACTCAGACTTCACCCAACAAATCTAACCAACATGCAAGCATACCCCACAAAATTCAACTCAATTTAAGGCACAAAAATACAGGCATTCGACGATCAAAACAATACGGGCATGATTGTCAAGTTTAAAAGTAGGCATATTCAAAACAACTAAGATCAGAAAGGCCCAGCACACATCAGTAAGATAAGATCATTTGCGAATGAGTACAAAATGCGATAAAAATAAACATGGTATTCAGAAAACCAAACTCTTATGCTGAACAATATAAATTTGAGATGCTAGGCGGCAAAGTTTTCAGCCCCGAGCACAAATCAGGAACCAAAATACTTATGGAATGCATGATTATTGAAAATACTAACTTGGTGCGAGTTTATGAAGTTTAAAAGCGAGGGTAAGCGAAAAGTTTGAAATTATAAACCCTTTGGCCATATATAACCGTCCAGTTCGCATCCATTCGACGAAATTAGTATAGCTCGCCAATCCGCCGAGTGGTCATTTACCCTGCCGACTTTTACAGGACCTTCAGTTGCTTGGGGGTCCAAAGGCGGACAACATCGGGATCGCCAACCTGTTCGGTGATTCACTGAATGGAGCTTTTAGTTCGCCAAATGCAACTTCCACACACTTTCCACACTTTAACCTGTACATTCAACACACCATTATTTTTAAAACAAAAATAAATTAATAAAGGGTTTTGGGTTGCCTCCCAAACAACGCCTTAGTTAACGTCGTGGCACGACACACATCCATACTCAAGTCCCACTAGTTTGGTTTGCTTCAATTTCATCAGGAAACCCTTTTTTCGGATCTTTATAGCGCTCATTTAGCACTTTGTCCATTTGGGACCCTAGTAGCTGAATGAGCCTGGCTTGGGAGGTTGACATCTGGTTTAAGAACAATACATTCTACTGAGTTTCTCCAATACCCTGTCCTGAGTATTAGCTTTTCGGAGAAGGAGCGTGAGCATTGCTTCAATTTGTCCATCCCCCTTATTCTTTGATTTTCTTCGCTCATGGGGAGGGACATTACGGTGTTTCTTGATGCACTGGGTGTCAAGCTCTCTAACAATTTTGGCCAACTCATCCATCTGAGTCATCAGTGCGGCCATTATGAAGTCCTTTTCTACTTCTTGGTTTTTCTCGGTCATATGATCAAGCATTTGGACTGTTATCGCATATGGCTATTTTTGCAATGCCACTCGGAATGAGTTGGTCTGCCAACACCTTGTTTCCAGGACCAAGACTTCTATAGAAATATTCAAGGAGGACTATATCGGGAATGTCATGACTTGGGCATTGAGTTATCAGTTCTTTAAACCTTGCCCATGTCTCATGGATCTTTTCACCTTCCAATTGTTTGAAGGTTAGGATGCAACCCTTGAACAACATAAGATACTTCAGTGTGGGTACTACTGGCCCACAACATAAGATGTTGCATATTTCTAGAAGCCTGTCACTCCTCTCCGATAGGTGGTCATCATGGAGGGAGCGACAAATCATAAGATACTTCAGTGTGGGTACTACTGGCCCACAATTCAACAGGATGTGATGGATGTAGTGGGGTGCTGTGATGTGTGCCAGCGGCAAAGAGCCATCTCTCAGTGCCATGAGTTACCCATTATACCTATTCTAGAGGTGGAGCTATTTTATGTGTGGGGAATCGACTTAATGGGCCCACTTGTAAGCTTCTATGTGCAGAAATACAAACTGGTTGTAGTGGACTATGTGTCCAAATGGGTTGAGGCAGTTGCTTTGCCTAAGAATGATTGTAAGAGTGTTGCTGGTTTTTTGAAGAAGAATATCTTCTCAAAGTTCGGCACACCTAGAGCTATCATTAGTGATGGTGGTTCTCATTTCTGCAATAAGGTGTTCAGCTCTCTTTTTGCAAAATATGGTGTTAAGCAACACAAGGTAGCAATACCTTATAACCCACACACTAGTGGCCAAGTGGAGATCGCCAACAGAGAAATTAAAGCAATTCTGGCTAAAACGGTGAATGCTAACAGGACAGATTGGGCATAGAAGTTGATGATGCCCTATGTGCATATCAGAAAGCTTTCAAGATGCCTATAGGTAAGTCCCCATATCAATTGGTATTTTGAAAGGCATGTCATTTGCCGGTTGTGCTTGAGTACAAAGCACTCTGGGCTTTGAAGAAGCTGAACCTTAGTTGAAGCGAAACTACAAACATGAGGTTGGATCAGATCAATCAGATGGATGAGTTCTATTTGAGGGCCTATGAGAGGTCTGCACTGTATAAGGAGAGGATGAAACTATACCATGACAAACATATTGAGAAAAAAAGCTTTAATCCTGGTGATTTGATGTTACTTTTCAACTCCAGACTTCGTTTGTTTCTGGGAAAGTTGAGATCCAAATGGTCTGGACCTTTTAAGGTAACGCAGGTGTTTCAGTCGGGTGCTATTGAGCTGGAAAATGATAAGGGCGAGAGGTTCAAAGCCAATGGCCAGCGAATCAAGGCATACTTGGGTGTTCTAGAGGATGTGAAGATTGTGGAGGAATGTAAACTTGAGGAAGTCTGAGTAATCAAGTAACCTATGTCGCATCGCGACGTTAAATTGTGCGCTGCTTGGGAGGTAACCCAAATGTAATTGTATTAGGTATTTTTCTTTTTCCTTATGTTTATAGTCACTATGTGTTGATATGTGCAGGAGAAAATGGGTTAAGAATTTTAGGACCAAGGTGCAGACTGCTCTTCACGAGCAGCTACACGGACCGTGGTGCCCTTCCCGGGCAACTTCACGGTCCATCAAGCTTAGCACCAACTTAAAAGAGCTACTGGAATTTGCAAGAAAAAGGTTCATGGAAGGGTTCACGGTCCGTCATGATTTGTATGGACCGTCTAACTTCTCATGAACCACAAATAAGTATTCTGCTCCCAAGTTAGTTACATGGACCACTATACGAACTGTGGTGACCTTCACGGTCCGTTATCCACAACCCTGTCCTACCAATACCCGACCCGACCCGCGATGGTACCAAAATTAAAAGAATGGTTTATATAATTTCTTAAGCGCCAAAGGTCGGGGTTCTTCCTCTTCGTCTATTCCATAACGGTTCTTAAAAGTTTTGAAACAGTTCTCATCATCCATAAATCCTATATTCGTCAAATATTCCAAGCCTTAAACCTAAGTTGTCAAGAACCTCAAGTAGCAATCACTGATTCACCCTTCTGCGCGAATTTTGTTTCTGAACTTCAAGTAAGTTCTTTCATCACTTTCCATAAGGTTGATCTTGTATAATAGTGAGTTGATTTACTTCGATTTAGTCGAGTTTAGTATAAGTATGTGACGAGTTACTTGGATTGGTCCTGACTTGTTCTGGGTTAAGTTGAATTGGGTATTGTTGATTGTTCTAGTGTATAGATATGATGAGGAAATCTATCTATTGCATGGATATGGTTTTTGATTGGCTTTGTGTGTGTTGAAATTCAATGATAGTAATAGCCTCACTGTGATCTTTTGTGAAAATGGGAATACCTACTTGTTTAGGATCAGTTGAACTGATTGTTTTCTTATGTGGCGATGATAACAGTAGGTTGAAATTATTTTGGTTTGGGATCTAATGTGTTAGTTGAACTTGCTTAGAAAAGTGATGATGAGTGTACATGTGTTGGTTGTGTTCCTTTGTAATAATGGGAGTTTGGCACTGTAATTTTGCAATTTAGTTAATGAGGGATAAAGAAGACTAAAGAAATAGCCAAGTGTAAGACCACGATAGGTTTTACGGACCGTGGAAGCTACTACGAGCCGTGAACCCAATCGTGGACCACACTTGAATTCCTTCTAAACATTAGGTAAGTTCATGACTTGTATCCCGGACCATGGTTCAACCCACGGGCCGTGTAACCGTCCGTGAACATTACTTGGTCAGCCTCTTGCTGCACACTGAGTCTGTATTAACTCCACGAGGGATTTAATAGACCATGGTTCCTACCACGGCTTGTGACAGCTCCCGTAGAGTTTACTTGGGTTGTAAAAATTAAATTTTTTCTGTACTTTTATTTCTATAATTTTTTTATTCCGTGGCCCTTCCCAATGATTGATTGGGTGACGGGATTCTTAAGGCAGGGCGTCACGAGGTAATTACACTGGGGAAGTCTGAGTACTCGATATTTTGTCATTTTATTGAGTTTTGTACTAATAATTCTTGTGTTTCTCAGGTACTATGCCTCCCCGACGAAAGAATGTAACCAAACATGCCCCCATCACTGCTTCTCAATCAGAAAGTCACAATGACTCGGAGTCCAGTAGTTTTGAGGTGCAAATAAATGTCACACCTGAAGATCACTTACCTCGGGCTACTAGAGCATAGACCAAGAAAGTAATTATCTAGGACACTCCTCCCCAGTTTGAAGAGGGAGGAAGCCATTCCGATAGCATTAAAGCATTGGGTAGTGAATCTAATGTTGGTTCAGGTAGACAGTCTGGTGATAATTCGGGGGGGCTGTGCAGAGTCTGAAAACGTCTATCAGGAACATACAAACACCTCTCCACCTGTGGAAAATTAAGGAGCTGAAACTAGGGTACGAGAGGAGGGAGATTTTATAGATGGGGATGTAGAGATCAACGATGATGATACCATGGTGATGTATGTGAACATCCATGAACCTGATCCTGCAGTGAGACCGCAACTGATTGTCTATTATCGATCCATGTGGATTGTGAACCGGTCCGAATAATTCTTCAACAAGAGTATTGTGACCAAGAATGGCATTTTCAAGAGGTGCACAATCATGCCTGAGACTAGAGTGGTGGTAGCTGATATCAAGGTGTTCCCCAATATTTATTGGACATTTCAGTTCCATCAGTTCGACTGGATGGACAATGCACCTGGAGAATACTCTAGCCACTCGGCCATAGAGTGTTATTCATCTTATGCAGCTACACTGACGAAGTTTGTTGCAGAAACAGAGACTACAAAATGTGGACAGAGAGACATTGCCATTACCTGAGGTCCACTCAACTCAATCATAGTTTAGGCCAAACTGATAGAAATCTCTGAGGCCACTATAAACAGGATGTTGCATGGCCCAGAATACACTGCACCAGCTTCAGTTGGCCTCTTTGAAGGCAAACATCATGAGGTCACCAATGATACTACGATGGAGGATCAAAATTCTCGAGAGAGGGTTTTGTGATGGATTGCGAAGCAAATTGCTGTAGATGGGGAGAATCCAGGTTGGGTCATAACAACTCCAACACTCATTACTAAAGCTTTACTATTATTTCCAGCGAAGGTTTGGTGGGCTTTCATTCGAGTACAATTGCGACCGACAACTAATGATAACACTTTGTCCCCTTCCCTGTCTTCGTTGGTAGCGTGTCTTATGGTTGGTTACCCAGTAAATGTAGGGCGAATTATAGAGACCGAGATGAGAGACAGGGCATTAAATGAGAGAGTCAAACTTCCATTTCCCTATCTGATAGGGAAATTATGTAGACAAGCGAACATTCCTCCAAACAAGGTAGTTGACAGATGGGGTGAAGCATTCAGACTCAACCAAGTTTCTAAGATCAAAGATGTCACGAACCATCTCTTTGGTGCGAAATATGCAGCTGTAGGTACCTTGGTTGTTGTCCCTCACATACCAATTGACATCCCACATGTAGATAGAGGTCCAGAATAGGGAGAGTCATCATAGCCTTCCACAGAGGCACCGCCACCTCCAGCTTCAGCCTCCCAGGCTCTAGGTACCTTTGCCACTATTCCTATGCTCTTTCTTTAGAAATTGGTTGCAGATCAATGCCAAACCAAGACATTGGTAGACCAGATTGGAATCCGGATGCCTCAGCCAATAGAGACAAAGGTGTTAGCTGTGAAAAAAAAGATCAAAGATGAGATGCGAAATGAGTTGGCTTTCTTAAAATACAGAATGGATTGTTTGGAGAACCTTGTCCAAGATCGATGCCGGGTCGCCAGGTCAGTAGATACTGAAGAGTTCAAATCACAGTTTGCCGAGATGAGAACTCAGGTTGCCAAACTGGATAAAAAGCCAGTACAGTTACCCACTCAATTATGCCAGATTATTTAATGCAAATACTAAATCAGGCACCCTCCACTTAATCAATTGATGATCTCTAGGGTAAACTACCTAAGATTAATTCGGGAAAGAGGAAACACAAAGCTAGAGAATCTAATGAGGAGCTGCCTCCTGACCTGTCTAAAGAGGAAAAAAGATAACACAAGAAAGCTCACAGCGCATAAAAGAGGAAAGATCAATAAAAAGAATCCGTTGAGCAACAACGGAGAGATGCAATGTTAGCTGGACCTTCTGGTAGTGAAGCACTTTCCCCGATGAGTGGTAGCCAACCTGCTCATGTGTTGAGTTTTGAGAGTGCACCTGGTGATAAGGGTGTCGATGCTGAGATGACTATCGGCGCCTAGGGCGCCGTAGGTATGACCCCTCCTCACATCCGTGTTTGGCTTTCTTTATTGACTTTGAGGGCAAAATCCTTTTTTTTTGGGAGGGGTGGTGAGCAACCTGCCATTCTAAGCTGTTAGAATGAATGTAGTTTGACTCTATGTAACTATGAAAACTGGTCTTCTATGTGTGTTTGTGTGTTGAGTTGTGCATCAATTACTCTATGTGTAAAGATTACCTTGATCTGAAGTTTGACTATTAGGATGTTTAGATGACATCTTAGATATTTACATGTTAAGCATTGCCAGCCTGCTCAATAAATTGGTGAACAAGAAACTGGATATTGTAGTCCTGTGTCATATGTGTTTGAAAGTTTTGTTTGAAGTCTAACACTAGGAGCAGAAACTAGAACTTGCCCAAGTAGTCTTTCTTAAGTCTGAGAATAACTGGATATGAAAGGATCACTAGGCCATTTCTATAAGTTAGTAAAAAGCCAAAAATGAAACTACCAAATAAAAATCTTACCACTTGAACCTGATTTGAGCCTAAAAGTCAGTTTATGTTCTTTTCCAGTAAGAGTATTATATCCTTTGGTTTCTGAAGATACGATATCACAACTCAGGCAAAAAGTCTAAGTTGAGGGTTATTGCAACCCGAGCAGAAAGAAGAAGTGCAAAAGAAGGTTCAACCAGTGAGCTAAGTGCATACAAAAATTGCATATAAAAAAAAGAAGTGTGAAGAAAAGAAAAGAAAAAGAAAATAATGGCTGTTGAGATGTGCTGAAATGAAGTAAAATAGTGAATTGCTCAGAAAAGATTTGTGTGCAAACTAAACTTTGGAAAACCAAGGGACTAGTCACTCACAAATCCAAATATCCATTCCCTAGCCTGAGAGTATGTTACAAGCCAATAAAGTCCTACAATGATCCTATTCCGGGTGTTTGAAATATAGAACGTAAAAAGCAAGGGAAAGCCTATGGTAGTTTGTTGTTAGTGTTAGAAGTTCTTTGAGAGTATGAGCGTAGTACTTAGTCCTAATTATCATGAGTAAGGGACTTCTTTGGTGTGAGGACACAGTGATTGCATTTGAGAGTAATTATCATGAGTAAGGAACTTCTTTGGTGTGAGGACACAACTGATAATTCACAGGCATAATCATGACTGACTGTTAAGTAATGAGATGTCATAGATTGATCCTCACATGTTAGATTCATGGTTTTTTATACAAATTGTGTTTGAGATGGCTGTTGTGTGATTTCAGAAGTGTTTGAGTAATCTGAGGATGAATGTATTGTTTTCTCATCACTTGAGGACAAGTAATGGTTCTGAGTTGAGGGTGTTGATGTGCCGCAAAATCGTGAGACATTTGATGCTTGAAAACTAACGAATAATACTAGAATTGAGTGTGTTTTTGTATGATTTGATGTGTTTGTTGAATGTGTAGACAAAGTCTTGCTTGTTTGGAAAAATGGAGAAAGAAGCAGAAGTTGATGGTGATCAAGTGAAGACCACGAGAACGAAAATGGGTCATAGTCCTTATCATGAACCATGATGCAACTCGTGAACCATTTCCAGTATGAAGGCTTAGAGGAGTTGAAATTAGGTTGGACAAAGTAAAGACCACGGCCAACCTCACGGACCGTGGTCATCACAATGACCTGTGGTCGTGAAGTTGAACCAGAATTCAAGAGTAAAAGAGTGGAAAATGAGAGTGGCCAAGTAAAGACCACTGACGCCTACACGGGCTGTGGTCCCTGATGTTTGCGTAATCAAGACACAAGTTCCAATGCAAGTGTCTACAGTCGTACAATAGTAAAGTAACCCAACCAAGGGTTGGGGTCGATGCCCAAGGGAGTGGTTATTGAAAATTAGTGGTTAAGCGCGAAAGTGCTAAAATTAACCGTAGATAAAGACTTTACCAAATGAAGACGTGACAAATTAAAGGGTTTGACGCGAGTGTCAATTACCAATGGGGGGTTTGTAAGCAAGTAAAGAGAAAAATCAGCAAAAATAAAAGAGATAAGAATGTGGAGACAAGATTCTTGGGATGTGATAGGAATACGGGTTAGACTAAACTATTGGGTATATACTTTTGATAGTAAATCCATTGAATATTTGTGACTAGGCAAGATTATAGTGGGGGTAAATTCTCTCTCGAGCAATTTACCCCGAATCAAATGGGTTTATCTCGGACATCCACTTGCCGCATGAAGGACAACCTCCACCTTAGCCCACTCACTCTCTCGAGCTGACTGTGTGGGAGAAGGACTAGGGTTCACTCTCTCGAGCTGAACCTCATGTCCACCCACTCCCACCGGCCATCAATTTAGTAGTCTTAGTTTTACGACCTCTCTCTTGAGCAAGCCGAAAACACAAAGCTCAAATCGTATTTGCAACTACAATTTCATTAAGTTCCAATACAACTACTAAATGAAATCACATCTAAACAACAAATAAACTATCAGCAAGCAAGACCCAACAATTAACCTAGCCCATATTCACAAAATCACACCCCTAGAATTGAGGTTTTAGCTACACATGTAAAAGAGGTAAAAATGTATACCAATCTCAGTATCCATCAATGGATCTGCAAGATTATTTCTTAAAAGAAGTCAAAAGTGAAGAATCCACAAGACCCAAGTCCAAAATCTTATAGTTGAAACCCTTTGAATCTTCAAGTTCTTCAAAACCCTCTCCAAGCTTAGAGAGAATATTCTAAGTCTGACATTAAAACTTAATAATATAAATTTGATTATAATAATTTCTACTATGATACTAAGCCACAAAACTTCAACTAGTATTTATAGTTTTCAGAAAATGTACTGCGAAGGATTACTCGCCGAAGTTAGTCGGGATCACCGATCAATATGGCTATCCACCCTTTGGTCTAGTTCATCGCCGTCTTGCGTTAGACTTCATCATCGTCGTGTTTTGGATCACTGGGCAACATA